CTCACACCCAGCCTGAGGCATGATCCAGTCTATCAAAATTAAAAATATCATAGACAGTAGATAGGAAGCCAGCTTGTCTTACTCCTGTATTTACTTCAAAGGGCTTCTTCTCTGAGTTCTCCGTCGGGAATCAGCTGACACAAGGCATTTTCATATAGCCAACTGTCGAATGAGGTGGATGAAGATTTGCAACACTGCTGACCATGATGTTGAAGTAGGTTCTACACTAATTCTCGGCCAACGTCGCCTGTCGAAGGCGTTTTCGAAGTCGATGAGGGAAGTTAAGGTATAGTTTGGACGATGATGGTGCATAGAGCTGCAATTTGATCAACATATGCCTTCCTTTTCCTGAATCGAGCTTGTTACGGGCGGAGTATTGCTATGAATACTTATATCAGTACTATTAAAACACCTGCTAATTATATTCTTTCTGCCACTAATACTAATGTCAAAATTACCATTAGTTATACTAATACTACTGATATTACTTCCCTACAATGATGCAGATCACAATGAATTTTCTATCATTAAAATAAACTTCAGCGAAGCCAACAATGCTTGTTGTTTCAAAGTTAGTACAATATTGTTTTCAATTAGATCTCATCAAGCTAAACTCTATTATATATAAGTTTACAAATAAAATCTGAATATAAATCAATCATGGTGTTTCGTAAGATATGTATGGATGACCTCTTACAAAACAAATTTGAACATATTCATGATTCCTTGATGGAGATGGGCTATCGGAGTAGTTTCATGAAGAAACCTATGAAAACATCAGACAGAAAACCTGAGACTCTGACTGCACGTAAAATCCTCTATTTCTTAAGTTACAATTTAATGGTGACTTATCTAGTGAAACTCTGTTCCAGAGACTGTCCAGGAGTATAAGGAGAACGTTTCATGCAGCATACCTATGTTTGTCATTCTCTAGCTGACGAATGATTGGGACGCAAACGAAGGATAAGCTAGATGGTTTTGTCACATCTATGTGCATTTATCAATTCAACTGCACCGGCGATGACAGTTATGTTGGGCGTATTACTAGACAGCTTAGCCAACATGTTAGTGAATATCTCTCGTCGTGGTTTGGCAAGGGACAGACAGTCACATTTAATTGATAGTGGTAATGTAGTCGAGAAAACGAGAGCTTTCAAAGTAATTCATCGTATCCCACCGAATCTTTCCAACAGACTTCATATTTGTCTACTGCACACAGCCGAGGCAGGCGATAGGCATTCGAACTACTAAACCTAAACTATGCATTTTAAAGAAGTTCGTACAGCCATCATCCCTCTCTTGGCATATTAAGACATAACCAACTAAAGACTTCTACACCACCCCTTTTTTATATTTTCAACCCCTTTCTTATCATCCCCTAATCTTATCACATCTTCATTGAAAACGTGTCCCACTTACTTCCCTTACAATCTAACATTACTTAATCGCTTCATTTGTTTTTACTAGCCTTTATCGACTACTTCCACCCGAAAAATTGTTGGTTTAATCATGCTGTTTTTCATTATTCGTGTTATCACAGATTGCCTCACTTTTTCATCCTTATTATTCATAAGAACATTATTATTATCATTACTACTATTATGACTAATTGCACAATTTATATTCACCATCGTATTATCCTAAAGACAAACACCATGATTTATTTATATTCGAATTTTATTTGTAAACTTATATATAATAGAGTTAAGGTTGATGAGATCTAATTGAAAACAGTATTGTTCGCTTAAATGTGTTGTTCTACATTTAACTATGGGAATAATTAATATATTTCAAAGTTAGTCTAACTATGAACCCAAATCACTGACAGAAAGTATGAAAACCAGGGGGATATTGAGAAGTCCTCCATTCCTGGTTAACAATTTTTTTAAAACAGTTAAAACACATATTGTATGCGAGAATACGATATGTAGTATACATTAGCATAATGATAAAACCAATATGGAAAAATCGTGAAAATCTCCATGTTCACATATTCTTTGTTCTATGCCCCATTAATGCTTTCTACATTGCATTTTACAAGGATCTTTCATTTCTCCTCTTGTCAACCGAACGCGTGGTTCCTGAATTCAATATTCTTGAAGAAGACATCACACAAAATACTACTGACAAAATCTCCTCAGCAGTACACTCCACAATAGAATTGACTACACTGAAAGCAAAGAACCGAAGATTTGTGGCATGCAAATACAGCATTTTATTGTTTTGCAGCAACTACACTCTACTGTGAATTCATTACAATAAGTACACGTAATTCATTCACTCCCTTCTTAGTGTCTCATTTTAAAAGCAGAATAGCTGTTCCATGGCTAGACATTTGTAAAAAATTATATTTGTAAAATCTCAGAGATATTGAAATGAGTAATTCCAAATATTTCAGAAATATTCTGTCAAATCTTGACTACAGTTCATTTGATTGATTTTGTAATCGAATTAAATTAACAAAGAAACTATGTAATTGGCACAATAATCGTGTTCCCACTCTCCGTTGTCTGTAACAGATTGCGTATCCTAAATCCGTAGCTGTCCAGTCACCTGACAACTCCAGCGGGTCGAATAAAGCAGCTCAATTTTCAGAAAGAAAGTAGTAAGTTTGACAGGGTGCTTCAACTAAACTCTAATCCTAAACACCGAAAGTTTGAAAATACGTCTAATCATAAAATTCTAGATACTAACAGTTTGAACAGACATGAAGGTATGATGTTAGATGACACACAGGAAATCCTGATTAATAAATAAGAATGAATATGTATCACTAACTAATAATACTTTGTCAAAGTTCCCGACCGTCTATATCTACTTATGGAGATGTTAAGACATTGTTTTACAACTGTTTATCCGCTCACACACACACGTACACACTGTGTTTAAAGTGTTAAACAAAGGTAGATCAGTATATGTAAGTCTGAGGTTAAATTTTGATCACAACTCATACAATTTTGTTTATTATACTTGTTAATACTTGTTTTATGACTCATGATTGGACAAAGTTTTTAGAAATAAGAGATGTTCCTTTTATATATAAACCTCTGTTATGTTAATTTCGATTAATTTCCCTGAAGGAGTTCGGACCAGATTACCGAACACAGGAAACGTTGGAATTACTCATTTCACTCTCGCTGAGATTTTACAAATATAATTTTTTACAAATGTCTACTTCTTACTCGGCGCCCAAATATTTTAGAACCATTCTGTCAAATCTTGACTACAGTTCATTTGGTTCCGTGACTACCTGGTTCCTAATGAAACCCTAACTGATGTCAGTTTTGTCAATAAAACCCTGATAAACGCAAAAATATGAATGTAAATCCTTAAGTGTGATTATGTTGTAGAGAAGTGGTGATGTTTTCCCATGTAATGAGACCTGCTACAGCCTTTTGTTGAAATCGTTGAATAAAATCTATGAAAACATTGAGTACGTTACTAGCCAGAGACTGTTACACAACTAAGCCAGTTTCCGTCTATCGAACAACATGTTCATCTTTGGTGCCGCAGTCAAAAGTCATGTTAACACCAACCATGTATACAAATTTACGTTTATCTGTGGAAGCAATTACATTGGGAGAATAGAAAAACGGATTGTCTCCGATTTTCTGGACATGTACCTAAAATTCTAGGTCTACAGAGTGGAACAAACGCCTTCGATAGTGCCATTACCAAGCATCTTATTGATACGAATCAAGAGGTAGATATTATGAAATCCCTTGAAATTGTCAATAGACAAAATAACGTAATTTTGCCGAAGATATCGCTATCAAACACCTGAAACTCGATTAAAAATGTTCAGAAAGAAGCAGTTATCAATCTCTCCTTGCCCTGGTAATTGGATGTCTTTATTCTCTGTTTCATTTGATTACGTAATATGTGGCTCTAACCTCACTGCCAAAGTTGGAACCTACTATCAACTGATATCATGTAAAATTTGCAAGTATGTCAAAACCGTTTTTGTACATAAACTTAATAACTATTTATTGAGGTTGTGCTAAGCTGATGAGAAGCCCATGAAATCAATAATGGTACCATCTTATTCTTCACAAACTTCTCTTGCTCATGCTTTATGCAAATGGCTTATAAAGTCAGTTAACCCCATTGCTTAGCAACAAAATATATTAATTCACATGTCAAGTAAAATAAGGAATTACGTAATTAGAAATACGCCTTTCTCCCTATATGGGACTTATCATCTGGATGTACTTGCATTTCGTAGTGAGTGATGATGTTCCCACCGAGGCTTGAACCCAGTGTCAATAGTTTCAAACTCGGAAGCGTTATCCACTAGACCATTTGGGCCACGAGGACGAAATGTGCATCCTGGATTCCACTGCTAGTCACCGTCCACCAATTAAATTCTAATTACATGCCCAGACAGCACCGAAGCATCTGCACAATTAGCTGACATATCAGCCTGAGACCGAGCACTTCGATCCAATCACTCGATGAGAAAATCTAAAATCGAATTGAAGAATTACGTAGTTTTCAAATAATAAGTGATGCACATCACTCAAGAATGATTACTATTAAAAGTCGAAAATTTCAAGGGCTTAGAAATTAGAACTTCGTTTAGAAGACTGAGAGACTGAGAATATTTATATAAAGTGAATTTTAAAGTGAGGAGAGTGAAAGGAAGAAATAAGGTGAAGACAAAACCTCAGAAGCCAAAAAAATTTCGCAGTGTCGCCAACAAGCCTGTTAATTTAAGATAAAGGCAAATGAAGGCAGTCTCCAGGGATTTATGGATCTAGATTTTGTCCTAATTGTCATTTGTCAGCCAGGCTTGCCAGCCATAAATTATAACTACCAGAAGATTTGAACCGGTATCAATCATTGATCTATTCGGACTACTGTACTATTGTATAACGACTGTTATCTATATTCTGAAGAATGTTTCATCAATGGGAAGTTTTGATAGACTGTTATAGGTAAGTTAACTTTGTGATATAAGTCAATAGCAAGAGCAACAATAACAGCAATCTATAACTTACCAATAACGCCTAAAAGTAATCCAATCGCAACACCATTACAGATATTCTCTTCAGTTAAATCACATATAAGCAATGGTGGTGTGGCTTTGGTTAAATGATCATTCAACCATTGTATATATGCATCTTCGAGGGTTTGCCCCTGAAACAAAATAAGAAAGACAGGATCAGAGTGATTATTTAGCTAACCGAAAGCATGAATATGCTGTGAATTTGGGATAAATATCGATTAATTAAGGAGAAACAGGGAAACTGGTCTAGTGAAGTGGTTCTCTTTGCAACGACTTCATTTAATTCCGTTGTACAATTTCATTTATATACAATCTCTTCTCTAACAAAAGAGTCGTCATAACAGAAGAGGTGAATTATCATCAACACAGTAGGTGATAAATAATCTAATGAATGAATTGTAATCAGCCTCCGTACAAAAATCAATGAAGAAATACTGTTTGTAAAAGGGAGGGCTAAAAAACTGTCTTTTGTACTCCGAGCTCTGGTTTTTCTACCTTAGAATACTACAGCCTCAACAATCTAAAAAAGAGGATGGCTTATATCATCTATGAAAGCCTGCTATTCACTTCGTAGATCTGATTGAAGGTGGAATTTGTTGAGATGGCCCGCCAAGTGTCAGTAAAATGTTCACTTGTCCCACTCCTTTTAGAGCCAGTGCTATTTTTCTGTGAAATAAGGGGTAACGCTTATGAAGCTTTTTAGATGGAGTGCTCACTGAATGACTAATATACCTGGCTACACAAGAGCAGATGAACTGACAAATGCACAGAAAATTAACTGGATGCTAGATCCTGTCTTTCGGAGATTTATGAACCAGTGGGTGTCTGAAGAATAATACTTTTTAGTGTTTCCGTGAAGAATATTCTTCTCAAAGGCGCTGAAATCCTCTTCTCAAAGATATCATTTCTCAGATCATCATTGTAATCAAGGTTCAAATAAAGTTTCTCTTGTGTGTAGAACAATGTCTCACATCTCCAAATTGTTTTCTGATATTATTGCCCTTACTATATTGGTGGATATAATTTTCAGACGATGATTTCTCTCAGCAGGTCTAATTCTTCATCAACACTGCCAAAGTCACAGAAAAGTCAAATGTGACTAGCAAAGGAAATCATTTAATTTTCTTATTTTTAATCGAGTTCTCCTCTGAACTACTCATTTTGTATTCTTGATAGATTAAATTATTCAACTGAATGTGGCATTTTCAAATTTCCCAATTCGAGGTGAGTATTCGATGTGGTTATTATAGAAACTAAAATTATTCTGGTCATCACAGTATGTGACCTACGTGGTAGTCAACAATACAGGTGAAAAGCACTGGTTCACGTGAATAATTCGAAGTCATGCAAGACGAACAGTGATCGACACAAACAAAATTCGTGCTTTCATTCATTTGTGGCTAAACTTATTCTTAATGTACTCGATTTTGCTCAGATCTTAGAGCCTAATTAGTTGAAATCCCACAAAACCCTGTTTGATAATGACTTTGGTATATTATTAACTGATATTAGTTAGAAAACCATTGAGAACCATCCCTGGAGTACTACTAGACAACTGTTTCGTCAGCCTAGTTTGAGATTCATCGGCAGCACCCACCCACCTGATCTCCAACTTAGGACCTTCCAGCTACAAGATAAGCTTGTATACCATCCAGCAAATCGGAGCCTAATCTTCAGTGGCCCATGGGATCTAACTTCTACCATTTCGTTATTTTATCGCGACTACCAACCAGTGTCATCAGAGGGAACTCCATCCTCACCACAACTGGATGGACCCCACTGGTCATGACTTCGCACATAGAACTCTACGCAAATTCGTTCTATGGCTTGTTGCTAGCTAGCTTCAGATCAATTTTCAAGAATAATTTTCTACTCGCTAATGACTGGTGACAGAAGGAAGTTGCCTGGAGTTCTAGTGAGATGTCTTGAGCGATGGGGGCCATCCAGTCGGGAGTAAGGACAAATGCTCGCCAGCGATGACACTGGTCGGTGGTTGTACTAGAATCACGAATTGATAAGAGTTAAATTCCATGGTCTACTGAGGATTCAGCTCCCAGTCGTTGAATGGTCTACGAGCCTGCCTCGTAACCGGTAGGTCATGAGTGCGAGACCCGGTGGATGGATACTGTCGATGAGTCTCAAACTAGACTTACGAAACAGCCAGCTATCCAATACTCCAGGGATGGTTCTCAATGGTTCTCAAACTGACATCAATCTCTGGTCAAAATAGAAAAACGAATCATTTATCGTTTATAGATTTTACAGGACAGGAACTGTTGCAATTTAAATACCAAGATCACGTAGAATCCCTACAAATAAATTTTTGAAAATTAGTAACTATTAATTGAATTAGTTTCGAGATAAGTCATCAAACACCTTTAGACAAAGGTGCCAAATATGTTCGTGGTGCTAACCCAGAATACACATCTGCTTTTGACTCTATACCTAGGGGCCTTTTACAAAATAAGCCTTCGTTGATGCAAACAGGATCCTGGGCTAAGAGTTGGTTGCATTATTATTTTTCTAGTAGAATGCAGTATACAGTATATAATGCCAAATCTTCTTCTTCCTCGCTTACAAAAGCCGGTGTTCCACAAGGTGCCATCCTCTCTCCTTTTCTTTCTTCTTTCTTCCTACACGACCTGCCTTATTTAAACGAAACTAACTTTGTAAAATATGCAAATGAACTGACTGTATCTTTGCCTATCACTTCCGCGTCTGACAGCTCCAAACTTAATAGCTTTCTGTTGGATATCAGCAAGTGGTCTAAGTCAAATGGTCTTATGTTAAATCCTCCCAAGTGTCAGGCAGTTAACTTTACTTTCAAGTATCGACGTGACATACATGAACTAGTTGGTCCCCATGATGCCTGTAGCACAAATGCCACTGAAATTGAAACCAAGTCAAGCATTAAATACCATGGATTAGTTCTTTCCTCTGACCTTTCATGGTCATCCCACATCTTATCTATCTCTAAGAAAATGTTTCATCTTACCTTCTACATTAAAAAGTTAAGACAATCAGGTATCAACCAACCTTTACTTCTGCATTTTGTAAACTCCTGTATTTTACCTATTGTACTCTATTGCTCTCCATTAATCTTTCCTGGGCTTCTCAAAAAAGATTATATCATATTACGACGAGTATTAAGTGCTGTGAGTAGGGCTTGTGGTATGCCACTACGTGAGCTCGCCAATACTATAGTCGAGAGGCATATAAATTCCTGTACGAAACGGGCAAAGGATATACTGTCAGACCCCCTGCACCCCTTTTATTCACAACTATCCTCTTGTATCTCATCGGGTGGGACGAGAAGTCAATATAAGAAGTTATATGCTCGAACCACTGAGTACAAAAATTCTACAATACCTTATTTAGCCTGTATTTTATGCGATGAAGACACTGTTAGACGTGGTAGCAGTGGTGTTGTTAGCGTCATGCCAAACCTTCCCTCTTTACCAGCTTTAATACTGATTAGCGAGATATAGGAGTGCGCCGGCCGAGGATGGAACCCTGGACCACATGAGGCATGGTTTGAGAGCATTCTACCTCTGTGCCAAGCACGTGCAAACATATGTATTCCAATGATAAATATATTTGCATAGTTGAAAACACATATCAAATAAAGTGCTAAGAAAACGGGTAGGATAGGAATAAGAGGAAACAGTGATATTGTATATATATATATATATATATATATATATATATATATATGTATATATCGCCAATAATGACGTTTACTAACTATAAGACAATATGCTCTGTTGATGAAATAAAACCCAAGATTGAAAATTCTCTGTGGTTTGAACTAGAACCAAAATCTTATGTACCTTCAAGATTCCACAGTCAACCAAAGATTCATATACACACAGTCCCGTTAACGCCAGTAGTAGATTTCACCAACTCACCGACATAAAACCTCTCTTAATACTTATTTTCGATACTATAAACATCGCAAAAGGTCAGTCAAAATACTGTCAGAGATTCATATGATTTCAAAACCCAAACAGAATACTAAGTAATCGATAAAGAAGACATCATGGTAAGCTGTGATATTAACTCATTATATACTAGTATCCCTATTACCGCATTTCCAGTCTACTAGAATCAGATACAACGCTACCACAAAGATGTCCAGCGGACACCAGTGAAATAATTAAGAGCTTTAAAATTTTGTCTAGAAAGTAATTATTTTACATTTAAAAGGGAATTTATATAGACAGACAAATGGTGTTGCTATGGGTTCACCAGTTTTCTCAAAAGTCTCTGAACGTTTCATGAATAGACTCGAAGATAACGTCTTTTCAAGCATACTCACTCCTTAAATATGGTTAAGATATGTAGATAATACTTTTTTAGTGATAAAACGAGATTTACACAGCTCATTCTTGGAGAAAATAGAGAATCTACCTCCTAGAATCCAGTTTACCTCGGAAGCAGAATCAGACGTCGATGAATTACCATTTCTAGACTGACTAGTTAAGAAGAGGGAAAACAGACACTTTAGTATATCCATATTCAGGAAGAAAGCCCACTTTAATAAATATTAAGACTTTGGATCATCATACCCCCATCAGTGCAAAGATTTGGGTTGTTTCAAGTCTTCTTAGATGAGCACACTCTTAGATGACGGATGAGAAAGAATAATAAGAAGAAATATCAGACTTTACTGAGACTCTCAAGCAAAACAACTACCCAAAGAACTTCACCAACAAAATCAACACAGACATTAAGTATGACCGTAAAAGTATTCCGAAAACATAGGCCTCAAAAGCTGTCATGTCAGACTATATCAGAAGAGTACTCAATAAGGTCGAAATCAGATTTTTCTTCAAAACATTAGACACATATACTACAAAGCAACCTTGTCCATGTAAAAGACTAAACCCCTAAGGATTCTTATTCAAAATAAAATGCTTGGAATGTGACTCGATATACAAACCTCGCTAGGAAGAAATCAAAATCAGAAAAAATGAACATTGTGGAGCATCTGCTCGATCACCGAGAAATCCAGTTGATCTAGAAAGGCTTGAAAAATCATCAGCCATATGTGTTTGACACTCTACAGAATCAGGTCACAAAATTGATTCTGACAATACTGAAATAATCCACAAAAATTTCAGAAATCACA